CTGAGGAATGAGGATATATCTCCTCATTTATAAGCCTGTCTGCAAACCAGGGCTGCAGAGCTGCTCCTAGAGAAAGGACAGTAATAGCTTAGCTGGGGGTCTCCTAGAAGCAGACTTTGAGAAAAGGATTCACGTGCAGGTGACACTAAAGGACTTGCCCCTGCAGAGGAAGCAACAAGGGAGTGGGGGGCAGGATGGGGACAGGAAAGAAGCCCAGCAAGGATGTGATTATAGGGGCCATCCCAGCCTCAGCCCAACCCTGTGGGCAGCGCTGGACTGCAAAGGGGACCTCGGAGTCGGCTGCCCTAAGACCACAGGGCTGGGCTTTTGTACCAGCCAGCTCCCAGGGTATACTCAGGCATTTGTGGCTCTCCATAGGGCCAGCAGGGCAGGCGGTGAGGCTCCAGCATGGCAGGACAGGCCTCTGAGGATCACGGGTGCCAGCCCTCAGGAGCAAACCCCACAGAGGCTGGGTGGTGGGTGCGCTGGTGAAGGCTGGGTGGCTCAGTAGCAGTGACTGTGGCGACCAGCTCCTGTTGACAAGGTGTCTGTGTTGAGTGAGGCTTTGTGGGGTGCGCTGCCCGCAGTTTTTTTTGACCCTACAGAATAGGTCCTACTGGGGAGCCATTCTCAGACTCGCTTCATGAGGCAGATGACCCCTCCCCGGGGTATGCCGAGATTCAGACTCCAAGATCTTTGTAACGGGCTTAGCAGAGCGCTTGGCACAAAGCAAGCACCCCAGACACAAGCATGTTCTTATTGCTGTTGTAGATGAGGAAATTGAGGTGCGAGCTGCCTCATTTTGCCCAGCTGAGTTCTTAGCCAGATCTGAACCCAAGTGTGTCTGACTCCTGAACCCGCACAGTGTACGGGGCCTGAGGCCAGCCGATGTGTGAGCTGCTCCGCTCCAGCCCCGCCCTTCCACACACAGAAGGCCAGGCAAAGAAGGGCAGAAGAGAATCCTAGGTAGAGGAAACAGCCTGGCAGTGGGAAAGCTATGGCAGCCCAGGGGGGCTTCACGGGGAGAACCGAACATATGGGTGCGAGATAAGATGCTTCGAAGGCCCCGAAGGCCGTGCCCAGGAGCTATGGGGACTTCCTCCTGCAGGTGCCTGAGCTCTGCCGCTGCTCACAGTCAGACTGCACTTCAGCAGGGTGACAGGGCTGCAGAGGGTGGCCAGATTGAAGCAAGGGGAGAGTAGAGACCAGCCTGGGCCGCTGCAGCCCTCAAGGCCCTCTGTGGAGGCGGCATCCCAGGCAGTGGATGGGAGAACCGAGAAGGGTGGGGCAGCCACTCTAGGGATGCGTGGGGGATGGGAGGACACCTGGAGAAGCCAGGCTCCTACCCTGGGCTACAGAAGGATGACCATCCTTGATGATTTGGGAGTGCTGACTATGCTCTAGGCACTCTGCTGTGCCCCTTACGAGGTTCGAGGTTCGTGAGTTCTGATTCTCAGCACACCCTGGGTCAGGAGTCGATAGCCTTGCAAGGGGGGTATAATTAACCAAAATGAGGAAGGAAGGGAGGAGCCTCTTGGGCCTGCCCTTTCTATGAGGCATCTAGGCATCAAACGCTGTGACTAAGCTGCTACCTTCCTCCTGGCAGGAGGAGGGGGTGTGGGCTTGTCCTTTTTGCCTTTGAAGAAAGTTTTTATCACCATCTGGAGCTGCCTCCCCAGCCACCTCAGCCAGGAGCCACCGTCTTGCTTTTGGATGGTCCTGGTGAGCGGGGCAGAGGGAAGGAACCTCACTCTGCTGCTCAGAGACCTTGAGAAGTGCCCTTGACTCATTCTCCTGGAAGGAGGAAGAGACACACGAGCTCCCACTGGGTGCAGGTCGGTGGCGTTTTCTATACCCCAGCTCATTTAATTCTCAAAACAACCCTATAAGAGGGCATCGCCTCCCCACTGTCAGACCGGGAGATGGAAGTGACACCATTCTGGCATGGCATAGCCAGGTTTTTAGCCCGGTCTGTGGATTCTAAAGTCCAGGTTGGTTTTCTCTGTCTTTCTCCCTCTCTTTCACTTAAAATATAAATATGCCCAAATGAATTCATGCTCCGCCATCTCCAATGGTTGACTTGCAAAACCCCAAAAGTCACCCAGAATCTATGAGGAGATGGAGCTGAGGAGGCCATCGGTATCAAGGGGGTTCAGATATTGCTCTCTTAGGCCTGGCCTTCCATCTTGGAAGTACTCTGCAAGTCACCCCAAAACTACAGGACCTATGGACTGCCAGGCCCCCTTAGAAAACTAGCCCGTGCCAAAGAATTACATAGTGTTTTTCAATCTGTGGGTCACAACCTATTAGGAGGTGTTGTATAAAACAAAAATATATTTGCTCTTTGTTCAGATTCCTAACACAGAACTGCTAAAATCTTAGAATTTCCTGAGTGATGAGTGTTGCTCGTTATTCAGAATGAGCCCTCTCGAATCACACCTGAGTTTATGAGTTTATGCTAAGAGGTGACACAGATAGGGCCTCTAGATAGCCTCAGGATGGGGCTGGTCACCTGGAGGACCAGATAACTAGAAGGCTGGAACTGCTGACCCCGCCCGCTGACCCCCCAGATGAATGCACGGAGCTGCTGGGAGGGTGGCAAAGCTCCACATCCCTTTCCCGAGACCTCGCCTGTGTGCCAACTCCACCAGGCTGTTCCTGAGTTGCTTCCTTTACAATAAACCAGTAAATGTCAGCAAAGTGTTTCCCTAAATTCTGAGAGCCATTCTAGCAAACTGTCGGACCTGAGGAGGGGCTCATGGGAAGCCCTGGTTTATAGCCGGCCGATCAGAGTACAGGTGGCCTGGGATTTGCAATGGGCAGCTGAGCTGGCGACAGTCTGCTGGGACTGAGTCCTTAACCTGCGAGGTCTGCACTAACTCTAGGCAGTTAGCAACAGAACTGAATTAACTTGAACGCCCCAGAGGGGGTCATAAAATCAGGTGAGGGGGTCATGACTGGCTCTTTTTTCGTGAAAAATTATACTAGACTACAAAAAAAAAAAAACAGCATGCGTCTCAGGTAGCTGGAGTAAGCCTTGTTGTGCTAAACTCTTGTTTTAGTTGTGCGTGTGTGAGGCGTGTGCACTGCATCATGATGCCAAGTGTGTTTCTCACTGGCTGTCATGGTCCGAAGTTTGAAAAACACCACGAGAACAGAAACCTCCAGGGAGGGGCATTTGCACCCTGGAGTGTGTCAAGCCGACCCAGCAGAGTGTGTGTGTGTGTGTGTGTGTGTGTGTGTGTGTGTGTGCGTGTGCATGCGCGCGGGGGGCGGGGGTGGGGAGGTGTTAGAATACTTATTCTAAAAATTCCATTTTAAAACTTCCTATTTTTGTGAATATGTTTTGTTGAACTTGATAGTTTATAAGGAAATATATACATAATACATATCTGGAGAGGTGCTTAAGTTTTGTTTTTATCGATAACTTTTGCTTTGGGGGCCATGAACCCCACCCAAGGCTGCATCCGTCAGGATCCCCTTGAGAGCTATTTAAAAATGTGGAATCCATCTATGGCCATGCTACCCTGAACGAACCCAATCCCATCTGATCTTAGAAGCTAAGCAGGGTCAGGCCTGGTTAGTACTTGGATGAGGGACCACCTAGGAAGACCAGGTGCTGTAGGCATAAAAAAATTGAAAAAATAAGGGATTGAAAGCTGACAAAGTCTTTGCAATCTGTGAGATTAACCAAGGGTTGCTTCTCATAAAAAAAAAAAAAAAGGATTCCTGGCCCCCCCCAGACCCAACACTGGGCACTCCTGGGTGTGTATCTGGAATTTACATTTTCAGCAGCATCCCTAGGGGATTCTGATCCAGAATTAGTTAGTTAATTAATACAAAGGTATTAATGCTTACCCTTAGGGTAGCTGTGATATAGTAATACTACTACTACTACTACTACTACTACTACTACTAATAATAATAATAATAATAATAATACCATGTGATGAAAGGCCTTTAAGCACCCAGCCCAGCACCTGGCACATAGTAGATGCCTAATAAACACCCCCATCCTGTGCGTGCTTTCCCTTGGATTGGAAGGGGCGGAGCCTGGGTGAAATGCTGAATTGGGTGATGCAGGGGGAGCAGAGATGGACGAAGCCCTTAAATACCACTGGGTCCTGGAGAAGGGGGAGGCCCATGGCCCGGCCTTGAAGGATGTGAGGAATCTAAATAGGCACGGATTGGGGGACATGGGGGACGTTCCATCGATGCAGAGCTCAGAGGTGGGAGTGAGCAGGACACATTCACTGTGGGAAACCCAGCAGGACACTGGGAGGCCCCTGAGTTCGAAGGCAGGATCTCTGATGGGCAGAAGTGGGGAGCAGGCTGGAGAGCAAGAGCAGGGGCCAGGCTGGGGAAGGCCCTGGATGCTGGGGTTCCAGGCTGGGGAGTGATCCGCGGCCCCTCACTGCAGTGTCTTGAGCAGCAGACCGAGGAGGTGGGTGAGGGGGTGTCGGAGATTGTCCTGGTGGCGGGGGAAGGGCGTCAGGTGAGCTGAGTACCCCTGCTGGCCATCGCAATATACTGGGACCAGAAAACCATTGGAAACCCTGCTGGCAGGCCAGCCAGCCAACCAGGCAGCGCCGAGATAAACTCTGCCACCCTTCAGAATTAGAGATGGGGGTAGTGCTCGTGGGGCAGGGCCTGAGGCACGGGTGGAGCGCTGACAGCCAGTCCAGTCTGGGTCTGGGCCTGGCCTGCCTGAAGACTCTGACCCAGGACCCTGGAGGCCTCAGGTTCACGGGGAGAGGGGAGAATCGTTTAACTTTGACATTGAAAGAAAATGCAAAGATCGGTGGGCCAACCCCACCTATCAACAGTGGGGAAGCCCAAGGCCCCACCCTAGGAACTCGAAAAAGGGCCCAGAATCTTGGGCCACCCTCTTCCATTCTGCTCTTCCGTAAACAGAAGTGTCTCTCCACCATGAAAGCACTTCCCTCAGAGGAGGTGGCACCCCGAAATGCCTCACGAGCCTGTATGGTGAGCTGAGGTGGCCTGGGAAGCTCACTGCCAGCCCACATCAGGCGGCCTGGCCCTGCCGTCCCCTAGTCCAGGTCCTGAAGTTCGTAGGAGTCCGCTAAGCAAATCCTCTCGAGCCTCAGTGGTGTGCGCTGAGCACTGTGGGGACATCGGGGACCTGAAGACCTCCTCCCAGGAGCTCCCAAGGCTCACACGGTGTTAACGGTGTTAACGGGGAGGAGAGAAGCTCTCTGCGCAGCTCAGTGTGGCGCGGTGCGGGTCGGGGGCAGGAGAGAGTGGGTTACTCTCTCTACCAAGAATAGTGCCTTTGGTGGAGGCTTCCCCAGGCCGGAACAACCCAGGAAGAGCCATGACCCCCCATTCCCATGGAGGGTCCCTGGCATCTCTGGGTCCTTGGGGCTGGCACCTGGATCCTTCTGGATGCTCCCTCAGCCTCAGGGCACTGCCCCTTCACCCCAGAGAAGTCTCTAGTCTGGGCAGAGACCCCCAGCAGGATTACTGGGGTTCTTCCTCTAAGGGCTGTGGGGCCAGGAAAAGGACACACGGATGCCTCCCCAGACGTGACCTCCCGCCCCTCATGTCTCCACAGAGATTTACTGCCCTTCCCGCTGAGGCTGCCACAGGCCATCCTTGAGGCCAGCAGCTTCGCAGACCTCAAGACCATCTCCAACCTGGGCCTGGGTAAGTACTCTCCCCTGGAGTCAGGGGACGTGTCAAGGCTCAAGGAAATGGGGCCCTAGAGCTGCCCCTGCTCCCCACCTGTGCAGGCATGGCCCCTCAGGCTGAGACCAAGCTGGATTCTGAGTCCCAGCTCCCAGGGGACCACCCACACCCCAGCCCCAGGCTACTAAGCCAGCACTTCAGGGAGATTCAAAGTGGCACCTTTTAACAGCTGCCCAGGGGGTCTGATGCATGACCTCCTTGGGTCTGAGGGAGCTGGGGCTGGTCAGGGCCACGGTGGCTGATCTATTGTTAGGGCAGGGCTCCGGGAGAGGCAGAACCGAATGCCAGGGTCCTTAGCGGAGGCCAGAGAGGCAGATGCCAGCAGCTGCCCCAGCCCGGTTCCACTCTTGTCAGAAGGAGAAGTGTGAACATGACTATGACCATGAACTGAAGTGAGCTCCCCGCAACCTTCTCCCCAACGCCGCCGCCTGCCTCCTGCCCCCTGCCCAACCAACTGACCGGAAGGACAGCCCACCTTGCCCCTTATCCCTCTGACGTTCTGAGGGATGAAGAGAGGAGAGGGGAAAAGAAGGAGAAGAAAAGACAAGAACACTTCTGGTCCCAGCCCGTCTGTCCACATAACAGTGGAAGCGCCTCGTTTCCTGGGCCCCGCCTGTCGGGCTTCGCTGAGTGCTTTGCAGTGGCGAAAGCAGCCAGCGCTGACCTCTTGCTAGGGCCTCGCCACGCTGGCCCTTGGGAAGCCAGGCCAGCCACCTCTCAGGGCTCCAGCTCCTAGGCAGAGGCAGGCTGTGTTGATAAACGACATAGTTAATCCATAAGTCTTTATCGAGACTGAACTGCTCATGGGACCCTGCCCTACACGCGGCTGAGCACGGTGCCCAGAACAGGGGATGCCCGGCTCACCAGTGCTGGTCGAGTGGAAGAAGCAATGAGCGAGTGGGCAGGGCCGGGTCGTGGAGGAAGGTAAGGGCAGACCTGGGATCAGAGAAGACACCCCCTAGTTCCCAGGCCAGGCTGCCGCCCACCACCCAGAGCGGGCTCTGAACAGCACTGCCAGAGAGGCCACAGGGAGCTCGTGGGTGGAGATGAGGAAGGGGGAGTCGTCCAGACCTTGGGGTATCACTTAATGAGACCCGCCTGCGTTACCTGCACTGACTTGTCAAATCTTCAACCGGCCCCATAAAGCAGGTTCTATTGTAATCCCCACTTTACGACAGGGGACATTGAGGCAAAAGAGGTCAAGTAACACGTCCAGTATCGCGCAGCCCGTGGCTGAGCTGGGATCCGAACCAGGCGGTTTAGCCCCGGTGCCGCCCCCTCTCTCTCTCTTACACCCCCTTAACTCTTCACCCCGCCTCTCGTGGGGCTGATTTGCCCGGTTTATAAACTTGAAGACCAGTTTTCATTTGATATCGGAAATAAACGCTGAACTTCACCCCCAGATATTTCAGTCGTTGGGCTCTTACCCTCCCCAAAGTTTGACTGTAGCATGGGTGACAGTTTTGTAACTCACACAGTCCAAATGATGCCCCTGCCCTACCCTGAGGTCTCCAAGGGCAAGGATGACACTCTCATTACACTGTCTTGCGTAATCCTTGTGTCTCCATTTTAAAGATAAAATATCAAGTCTTAGCACGGCTAAGAAACTTGTCAAGGTGCCCCAGGCGAGGAAAGATCAAAGCCGGGACAGCACCTTGGCTTTCTGGCTCCAGGCAGAGCCCCTCTCCTGCCCCTCGGCTGCAGCTCATGACCTTCTCAGTGGTCTTTGCAAGAACAGGCAGTGTTGAGGCCCAAGTGTGTAGCATGAGACGGATGGGCTCAGTCTGAGGAGGCCGACCTCTGAGGGGAGGGTTGGTTTGCAGCAAGCAGCTTTGGCCCTGCTGTGGGGTTCAGGCAGGCATCCCTGGGACATTCCTTTCTGGAGGAGACAAGCCCTTCTGTCCTGGGAGAGCTTGACCTCAGGCACGATGAAGTGGGGGGGAGGGAAGATGCCGTCTGGGAAGCCAGTGGCAGGCAGTTCAGAATCCTCTGTGAGCGCTCACTTCCCGGAGACGGGGATTTAAGTAAAACCCCTTAGGGACTCTGCAGCTTAGGAACCAGAGAGTTCTGATCAGACCTGATGTCCCCAAGGGCTGAAGGACATAAAGTGAGGTCCATCAAAGTAGCTCTTCTTCCCTGGTTCGGTCCATCCCCGGAATAGGTGGAAACTAGATCTGAGAGGGCAGAGGCCAGAGGCCTTGGCTCTGACGCGTGCGGGCCTGGGCCTTGCCAACCTTCCCCTGCAGTCCAGATAATAAATATGCAACGGGCAGCGTTTGCCAAGGGCCAGGACGCACGGGCACTGTGCCCGGCATGTCATGTATTGTTCTAGGCAGGGCGCTCTTGTGGCAGAGAACTGAAACTGGCGTAGATAAAAGAGGATTTAGTGGAAAGACACTAGAGAATCTCCCAGAAACGGAGCAGAAGTCAGCCGAGCTGTGCAGGGAGCAGCATCTGT